AATTAAGATCTCAGACATACAGCATAGAAACAGAATACTAAAAGCTGTTAGAGAAAAGACACAGCTCACTTATCAAGGAGAGCCTATTAGAATCATGGCAGACTTTTCAGCACAAACCTTCAAGTTAAGATGAGTTTGGAGTGAGGTATTTCAAGCCCTGAAAGAAAATAACTTTCAATCCAGACTGACATACCCAGAAAAACCATCTTTCAAATTTAATGGAGAAACAAGATACTTCCATGACAAAGAACATCTAAAGGAATTCATCTCCACCAAACCAACCCTAGAAAAAGTACTGAAAAACATGCTAGATACAGATAAAAATGACTGCAATCTCCAGAAGAACAACAGAAAGAAACCACCAGGCTGGACAAGGAAATAAACAAGGGAGAAAATCCAGAAACCAGCAATAGGAACACAACATGGCAAAGTCAAGCCAGTACATATCAGTGATATCTATAAATGTAAATGGGCTCACTTCCCCTATCAAAAGAAACAGGTTGACAGAATGGATCAAGAAACATGATCCCACAATATGCTGTATACAAGAAACACATCTTATCCAAAAGGAAACTCATAGATTAAAAGTCAAAGGATGGAAAACAGTATTCCATGCAACAGGAACCCAGAAAAAAGCTGGGGTAACTATTATATTTGCAGACAATGTGAACTTCAAACCTAAAATGATTAAAAGAGATAAAGAAAGTTACTACATTCTCATTAGTGGAAAAATTCAAGAGAAAGAACTAACAATTATAAATATATATGCACCAAATACAGGAGCACCTAAATATATAAGACAGATAGTAATGGACATGAAAAACCAAATACACAAAAACACAATTATGACAGGTGTCTTGGTTACTTTTTACTCGTCGCTGAGACAAAATACCTGAAGCCCAAGTTGGGAAAGGAAAGGTTTATTTCTTACAGTTTTTGGAGGTTTCAGTCCATACTCAGTTGGCTCCAAGGCAGGGGGGCATGGCTGGGCTGCCTTTCATGGAGGCTGCAAATAGCAAGCTGGAACCGGCAAAGAGCAAGACATACCTTCTTCTGCCATTACATCACATCCCGGCTCCACCCCTATGTGGGTGGAGCACTGACACATCAATCCAAGTACTATACAATGAACCATCACAAATGAACAATGCAAACTCATGAGGTCTGGGGGACACAGACATAAACCATGACAACAGGGGACCTTGACACCCCATTTTTGCAAAAAGATAGATCAACTAGACAAAAAGTTTGCAAAGAAATAATAGAACGTAATCATACCCATGAACAGTTGGACTTAGTAGATGTTTACAGAGTGTTCCATCCAACCACATTAGAATACACATTCTTCTCAGCTGTGCATGGCACATTCTTCAAAATAGACTATATATTATCCCATAAAACATTCTTAAGTAACTGCAAAGGTATTGAAATTATCCCATGTGTAATATCTGATCATAGTGCACAGAAATTGGAAATTGATAGCAAAGGAAATCACAAAACCTGGATAAATACATGGAAATTAAATAACCTTTTGAACAACCAGTGGGCAACAGATGAAATTAAAGAAGAAATAAAGCAATATGTACAATTCAATAAAAATGCAGAAACAACATACTGTAATCTGTGGGATGCAATGAAAGTGGTCTTAAGAGGGAATATATATAGCAATAAATTGTCATATCAAGAAAACAGAATGAGCACAAATAACCTAATGCTTCATCTCAAGCTTCTAGAAAAAGAAAAGCAAGTTAAACCCAAAGCTCATAGAAGAGAGGAAACTGTAAAGATTAGAGCAGAAATCATTGCAATTGAAACTAAAAAAACAATACAAATAAGTAATGAATCAAAAAGCTGGATTTTTGAGAGAATAAACAAAATTGACAAACCTCTAGCTAACCTTATAAAGAAAAAGAAAGAAAAAACCAAAATTCACACAATAAGGATTGAAAAGGAGGAAATTACTACAGATCCCATGGAAATTCAAAAGATCATGAATACCTGTTTTGAAAATCTCTACTCACATTGAGTGGAAAACACAGAGGCAATGGGCAGATTTCTAGAAACATATGAGCTACCAAAGCTCAACTAAGAAGATACAGGAATTTTGAATAACACAATATCAGCTATTGACATTGAAAATGTAATTAAAAACTTTCCTACAAAGAAAAGCCCAGGTCCTGATGGATTCACAGCTGAATTCTACAAGAAATTTAGAGACGATTTCATGCCAATACTCCTTAAACTCTTCAATGAAATTGAAAAGGAAGCAATCCTCCCTAAATCATTCCTGGAGGCAAGTATTACTCATACCAAAACCAGAGAAAGATCCAACCAAAAAGGAGAACTATAGGACAGTATCACTAATGAACATTGATGCAAAGATTCTCAATAAAATACTGGCAAATAGAATGCAGCAAATCATCAGGAAGATTATACAGCATGATCAAGTGGAATTCATCAAAGGAATGCAGAGATGGGTCAACATACACAAATCAATAAATGTAATACACCATACTAAGAGAGTCAAAAACAAAAACCACATGGTCATCTCAATAGATACAGGAAAAGCTATCAATAAAGTCCAACACATGTTCATGATAAAAACCCTTCAGAAACTCGGAATACACAGTGTCTACCTCAATCTTATAAAGGCCATCTATGATAAACCAACAGCCAACATTATACTAAAAACTGAAAAGATTTTCGCTTTAAAATCAGGAACAAGACAAAGACTATCACCACTCCTATTCAATATAGTTCTGGAAACACTAGCCAGAGCAATCAGAGAATAGAGAGAAATAAGAGGAATAAAGATAGGAGAGAAAGAAGTTAAATTATCACTATTTGCAGATGACATGATGCTCTATATAGAAGGCCCAAAAACTCCATTGGAAGATTACTAGAAGTAATAAACAAATTCAGAAGTGTAGCTGGATACAAAGTCAGTGCTCAAAAATCAATAGCATTCCTGTACACAAAAAACTCAGAGAGAAATTATGGAAATATTGCCCTTCATAGTAGCATCTAAAAAATGAAATACTTACAAATCAACCCAATTAAGAATGTAAAAGACCTACATGCTGAAAATTATGCTATGCTAAAAAAGGAGATTGAGGAAGATATTAGAAAATGGAAGAATATTCTTTACTCTTGGCTGGGAAGAACCAACATTGTGAAAATGGCCATACTCCCAAAACTCTTATACAGATTTAATGCAATCCCAATCAAAATACCATTTAAAATACCTCACAGATCTAGAGAAAACACTCCTAAAATTCATTTGGAAGCAGAAGAAACCCAGAATAGCAAAGGCAATTTTGGGCAACACAGGCAAGGCAGGAAGCATCTCAATTCCTGACTTGAAACTATACTACAAAGCCACAGTGAAAAAATCAGCATGGTACTGGCAAATAAATAGACCTGAGGATCAATAGAACAGATTAGAAGATGCAAACACAGCTACAGAGACACTCAGCCACCTGATATTTGACAAAGGGGCTAAACAAGTTCAGTGGAAGAAAGGTAACCTCTTAAATTAAAGGTGTTGGAAAAATTGGCTCTCCACATGCTGAAGACTGAAACTGGATCCATGCCTATCACCATGCACAGAACTAAAGTCTAAATGGATAAATATTAAAACAGAAACACTAAATCTACTGGAAGATTACGTAGGTAGAAGTCTTGGAGACATAGGTGTAGGCAGAGAATTCATGAACAAAATGCAAACTGCACAAGAAACACTTCAAAGAATCAACAACTGGGATCTCATATTATTGAAAAGTTTCTGCACTTCAAAAGAAATCACCAACAGAGTGAAAAGAAAACCCACAGAATGGGAAAGAATTTTCGCTAGAAATCCCTCAGACAGAGGACTTATATCCAGAATATATAAAGAATTGAAAAACATCAAGCCCCCAAATTCAAAGACCCTTTCCAAAAATGGGCATGTGGGATGAACACACAGTTCTCAATGAAATATACAAATGGCAAATAAATACATGAAGAAATATTCACTACCACTGGCCATTCAAGAAATGCAAATTAAAATAGCACTGAGATTTCATCTCATTCCAGAAAAAATAGCTTCCATCAAGAAATCAACTGATAACAAATGTTGGTGAGGCTGTGGGGAAAAAGGAACACTGTTCCACTGTTGGTAGGAGTGTAGATTGGTGCAACCACTTTGGAAATTAGTATGGAAAATTCTCAAAAGAGTAGGATTTGAAGTTCCATTCAAGCCAGCTATTCCCCTACTGGGTATGTTTGCAGAAAAACTGAAAAGGTCATATCACAGTGATATATGTGCACCCATATTCATAGCAGCACTATTTTTAATAGCTAAATCTTGGAAACAACCAAGATGCCCATCAACCACAGAGTGGGTGAAAAGGATGTGGTATTTTTATACAATGGAATATTGCTCAGCTATAAAAAGGATGATCTTGAGGCTTCATAGGGAAATGGAGACAACTTGAGGCTATTGTCATTAGTGAAATAAATAAGAATCATATTTATAAATATCACATTGTGTCTCTAGTGTAAAAAGTAATAAGAAATGTAGGAGTAATAAAACCCAGAATGTGTAATTGCTGTTGTAAAATAAGAGGCAAAGTAAATGCTCTAAAGGATATAACTGCATGTATGTTTAAGTGTGTAGGATTGATAACCGTATTACTAAGTTTTTGTTGGATGGTTGAACAGAACTGTTTGCAGTCTTGCTATTTGAATGTCCACTTTGTATGCTTTACCTTCATAACTTGAACAACTATTTCTAAGAAGACAATTTGTAATTATCAATTAGTGATTTCTTACTGTTTATTTTTTGAAATTATGTATTATCTCTACCCTTTTTCTGTTTCGCTTTTTTTTCTTTAAAAAAAAAACAGAAAAGGGGAAATACAAAGATAATTTGAGTTACATAAGGAAAAACTTGAGACCACTACTATAGACAGGAGTATGAAATAAAAGAAATGAATACTTTTCATTTTTCTCTTTATTAGTGTTGTTATTGATGGATACCCTGTAACCACACACCAAATGGATCTCTTGGAAAAGAGGTCAATCATTCCCATGATTGTCTTTGAGTTGGATATACCTTCTGAGGAGATTTTCAGAAGATTGATACTGGAAAAAAAATATGAATCAAGGTAACATACATGATGAAAACAATGATAAAAAATGAACTTTAATTATCCATGGAAGAAAATATGTTTTAAACAGCTCTTTCCATTCTTCTTGTTTCTCTATTAGTTTGCCTTATCCATTACACAATAGTGCACAGATTATAGCTATCAAGAATGCAGTGTGCCATAAAAATATTGGTGCAATTAAGCAATATTATCAAGAACAGCATCAGAACTGGTATGTGATTGATGGATTTCACAGTAAGTGGTGGGTATGGAATGAAGTCATTAAGACCATTCAAATGGTGAATAAGCATATGCAGAAATACCTGGAAAGAATAAAAGAAGGTAAGAAGATACTTCAAAAAGTAAAATAAAATATGAATTTAAAGCTTTTATATCCTTAATTTATATTACTATAACTCACTAAGTTTGAGCATCTATTTTCACAATCTTAATATATATTTTAATATAGAGTACTATCCAGTTGTTATGGTGCTCTGGCCTGCATGCTTGGCTCCCCCATTCACATGTTGAAGCCTAATCCACAATGTTATAGTAGGAAGAGGTCATGTCTTTAGCAACTGAATAGCTCAGATTTCTGCCCTGGTGAGTGGGGTTAGTTCCATTCATGAAAGAGGCTTGGGGGAGCCTCTTTTCTCTGTGCCACATTTCAGCAAGAAATCTCCATCTCTTAGGAACAGACTCTTCTCAAATTCCAAATTTGCTGGCACCTTGAACTTAGAATTCCCAGCTTCCAGAAGGATGTACAATAAACTCCAGGTCTTTATTAATTACTAGGTGTAACATATTTGGTAGAGCAGTCCAAAAGACTAAGGTATGTGCATTTGTATATTTGTTCTAATAAATGACTGCTGCTACTTAAGCTATCATTTTCTATTAGTACATGTTTGCAGTACACAATGCTTACATTTCTAACATTTTTTCTTTTTAACTGATATAATAATCATACATATATGTGGAATGTAATGTGATATTTCAATACAGGTATGTAAAGGAGGGATGGTGGATATTTAGATGTAGACCTACCTAGGTTACATAGTAAATTCAAGGCCAGTCTGAAATACATAATGAGAACTTTTCTCCAAAAAAGGAAAAAAAGTATTACATGCATATCATGCACAATGATCAAATCAGGATAATCAACATTTTCATTTCATCATATCACTTATGTGTTTTGAGCTTTTGAATTCCTGTCTTTTAGTTTTTCATGAATTATTAAAGTTGCAAACTATATTCACACTATTGTGCTATAGAACAGTAAGATCCACTCTATGTAGCTGAGCTAAATCCCCAGCTACTGCAATCACTATTTTACTGTATTCTTTTTTTTGACAGTTATCTCTGTCCAAATCCTCACCAGCATGTTTTGTTTTCTTGGTTATAGGCATTCTGAGATGAGAGGAGACTTCACTGTTGTTCTGATTTACAGTTCCCTAATAGATAGTGATTTTGATCATTTTCTTATATACTCATTGGCCATATGTAAACCTCCTTTTGATAAAATTGGATCATTTGGGGTGGGTTTTTTCCCACTGTATTTTTACATTACTCTCGTCAGATGGATAGTAGCCAAATATTTTCTGCCAGTCTATAAATTGTCTCTTCCTTCTCTTTGTTGTTTTCTGTGTAAGTATCTTAGTTGTATGTAATCCTACTTCTCACTTTTTCCTTTTATTTCATGTGCTTTTGTGGTCTGCTCCTATAAAAACCATTGCTGCTTATACTAAATATGTTGAAATGCTTCCCCTATATTTCTTCTAAAAGTTTCATAGTTTCAGGTCTTATATTTAGGTCTTTGATTCACTTTGATTTGTAGGTGGTGATTTTGTATGGTTTTAGATACAGTGTGAGAGCCCTCCAGTGCCTCATGTGTTGAAATTTAACCCCACTGTGAGATATTAAAATGATGTAGAAACTTAGTCTATTTATGGCATTCAGAAATGGAACTTTTGGTAGGTGATTAGGGTTAGATAAAGCCAGTAGGGTAGAGTGATTGATGGCTTGTAGAAGGGAGAGAGACCAGAGAGGCATTCAGATATATACATGCTCCCTGTCTTACTACATGACACTTCTCTGTGACCTTGTGACTCTGCCAGCAAGAAGGCCATTAGTGGCCCCTAGACCTTGCACCTCAGAATAATGAACCATTGTAGACTCTTTTGCATTATTGTGTCTGGATTTGCTTTATTATTTGAGTATAACCGTATCTCTGTTTCCTATTTGTCTGCAGACTAGGAATTTATTTTTATTTAAGTAATTATAGGGCATGAACACAAATGTACAAGGGAAGGGAGAACTAAGATTTTTGAAGCCTTTTCCCAGTAAGCACTGGATAGCATTGTACCAGAAAACTCCCTGTGGCAGACTTCAGAAGCAGGAATTGTACCTCTTTCACTTTACTTTTAATGTATTTCACCTTTCCTGTCTTAGGTGTTAGAGTTGGTTCCTTTAAATCAGACGATATGAAAATTCATATGCAAAAGCTTTGTTAGGAAGTACTCTCTGGAGTAGAGTAGGCCAGATTTAGAAAATAAAAATACAGGACAGAACAATTGTGACAGTACAGGCTTGTAATCCCAGCCACTCAAGAGGCTGACACAGGAGGACTGTTTGAAGGCAACCTAGGCAATATAGTGAGACCCTGTCTCAAAGTAAAAAAAAAAAAAGTAATAAGAGATGGATAGTCTTTGAGTTCAATTCCCAGTAACCCCCCCAAACCCAGTTAAATTTTAATTTCACAAAAATACTTAATGACAAAAAAATAGTGAATGACTTACAATATAAGTATGTCTTTTGAGACTAGTTCATGAGATTCTAAATTACTCTGTTACTAAATCTTTCAGGAATTGTGAGGCCAGGGCATCTGCGCTAGAGAGCAGCTGGGAATACACAATATTATAACATGATAGTATTATAGAGTACAACACTGTATCATCATATATTGTATTAGTTGTTAATCACTGGCATAAAATACCTGACAAACTAAACTTAAAGGAGAAATGGTTTATTTTGAAATCTATGATTTCAGAGCTATCAGTGCTTGGTTAGCTGGCTTTTGCTTACTCCACTCTCAGCCTCTGTCATCATGTGTGAGTCTCTGTACTTATCTGTCTCTGCATCTCCATCTGCAGTTCTCCTCTTTGTGCCTACCTGCATATATATATCCATTTCCAAAAAGGTCACATTCACAAGTATTTGTGAAACATCCTTTTTGAGAAGGCACAACTCAGTTCAAACCAGTAAGAAAATTTTGTAATGTCCTATCACTTTTCTGTTTATTAGAAGCAAATTAGTAGATCCAACCCACATACACAAATTCCCAAGTATGTGGACACTAAAATGTAGGAACCCAAGAGGACACTGGAGCCTTGTCAGTTCAATCCACCCAAAGATATCCTTGATACAGTGAAAGCATATGCAATCAGAATTCTGTCCAAATTAATATAGTTGAGAATGTTAGATGGCAAAGATTTCATGTGATGAGATTTAGTGAGTTTCAAAGCTATTTTTTTCTTGAGGCAGTAATACTATCCTAGAAAGCTTCTCCTAATACTTTGAAAAATGTACAGACATTCAGATAATTCTATCCAACTGACACTCTGAACTCTTCAGATCCTAGACATCTGCAGAACATAATATGGCCAGCATTTATGGATGGCACCCTTTCTTGTCCAATTTACCTTTCTCTACTTTGTTGTCATAGATTTTACACTTTGGAAAGTATACTGTACCCCATCAGTTTATATCCTGAATAGCTTGTTGGTAATAGTGCTGAACCACACTGATGATTCATTGCTTTCAGGAGGTGAAACAGCTCCAGAGGTGGCAGATAAAAGAGTTTAGCCTGCATCAGGGTATCTCAGATAAGATCATGTTTATCTTACTAAACGAAGAGATCAGACCATGATTTATGTTTCATACATACAAAGTCAATCTAAAACTTTTCTAGACACAATCCAAAGCAAAAAGGTAGCATTTTCCTTGGTGAAAGGACTCTATAAAATATATTGGCATCAAAATCTAATCATTATAACAGAAGTGTATGGAAAAGTAATTTCGTTTTATATAACATATCATATTGCTTTGGAGTCCCTATGCCAATGTACTCCATGAAAGGAATTTGAGCTCTTATTTCTGAACTAGACTCTTCTGCATAAACACAGTCACTTTTGGACAAATGTTTCTTCCCTTCCTTTGGGTCACATCAGGGTATAGGGAGAAGTTTATGTCAGTAAAATCATATCAATAATTTTTGTATTTCCTGAAGTGTATCCCATAGGAAATTATAAAGTATTAACAATATATATGTTTATGTATATGTGTACAAATTTATACTTACATGCTCATTTACAAACACAAAATTCACATATGTATACATACCCATTCACACATATATATATATATATATATATATATATAAATGATGTATGTAATATTATTTATACTATATAATATATGGTAGTTAAGAATTAAAACTACAAAAATATCCATCAATAGATAAATGGTTAAGTAAATTATATATGTATATTTTTGTACAGTGGAATACTATGCATCAATTTTAAAGAATTAGATAAATCATATAAATATATATGGAAAGATATCAAAGACCATAACTAACTGGTAAAATTCAGCTGCAGAATAATATTTATAATACACTGTCATAAGCACACTATATGCAAAAAGATGTGTGTATGTGCACATGGGTAGAAAAAAGACTGAAGTGGTTATGAACCCAACTTTACCTCTGAGGAGAGTACACTTGGCTAAAAGGATGGAGATATGAAAAGTTTCACTTCTTACTCTATTGTTTAGAATTTTAGACTATGTGGTAGCATTTGTGTAAAATCCATAGTGCTGTGTAATTGAAATTATTTTAAGTTTTATTGTTTCCTGTAATAACAGTTTTATTGTGTTTCCATATAATAACAGTTAATGTGTTAATAATAGGAAAAGCTGCCTGCATTGACAAGTTATGTATCACACCTCAAGAGCTGATTTCTCGCCTGGGAGAATTTGGACAGTTCTGCCCTGTGAGCTTGGCAGAATCATATGAATTATTTGATTGCTCTGAAATCACCTCCTTGGAATTTGCAGCAGAATTTAGGGGGCATTATTATAAAATGAATTCGCAGGAAAAACTAAATGTAAGTTTGTGCCTAATGCAAATCTTCATTCGGGAAGGAAAAAGTTTTATCTTTAAATTTGTCAAATAGCAATGTGGTGCAGGTACCTCTAGAAGACTCAGAAAACTAGGCCTTTAACTGTGAGCCCAGTGAGGAGTTCAAAGGCAGTGGTGAGCCATATCTGAGGACATATTCTTAAACATATCAAAAGTCCATTCAGCAGAACCAGTGGGAGCCTTGTGATGAAGGGGAGGCTGAGCTCTGAGCTCTCAGTTCTCAGGTTGGCATCCAGTATGCTCTGGTCTAAAGGATGAATGAAAGTCAGAGTCAGTAGAAATGAAGCAACAGCTGATGTTGACTTCCTGTGTTTTGACACTTATTGAAAGCACATTAAAAATTCCCCCAGAGACTTAGACAGTTGCCTCTCAATTTCCAAGGAGATTGGCTCTAGGACAACTGTCTTTGTTACTTTTCTCTTATTGCTGAGCCAAAATACCTGACACTCAAAATGAAGTAAAGAAAGGTTTATTTAGCTCACTGTCTGTGAAGGTTTTGGTACATAATTAGCTGGCTCCAAGACAGGGTAGCATGGCACCAGGACAACACTTCAAATGGTGACTGCAAGCAAGAGTGAAAATGGCAAAAGGGGAAAAGCGCACCTTTCTTCCTCCCTTGTATTGTATGCCAGATAGCCACATCTGGGCAGGTGCAGCACTCATGCTGCCAATTCCAGTGCTAGACAGTGAACCAATCAGAAATGCTAGATTCAGTCACCTCCATGATTGTATGAGACTTTGAGGGGACACCCAGACACAAACCATGACAAAAACCTTGCTTCCCCTGACAAGAACACCAAACTCATGGATGGCCAAGTCTCTCATATAAAGCAGCATAGTTTGCATATTACTTCCTTACACTTCAAATCACCTCTTGCTTACTTATGGAGCCTAATACAATATAAATGTCATGTTTGGAAAATAATGAAAAAATCATGCATGATCAGTACAAAATCAGTTTTCCTTTTTTTGTTTTTTTTTTGGTATTTTCACTGTGTGCTTGGTCAAATCTTTAGATGTATACCCACATATTTAGAGAGCCAGCTCATCATGTCTGTTTTAGATTGTTTTCTCATCACTGAGACAAAATACCAAAACTCAAAGTTAAAGGAGAAAAAGTTTATTTGGGTCACACTCTGTAGAGGATTCAAGTTCATAAATCAGCTGGCTCTAAGGTAGGGTGACATGGCAAAAAGGCATTGTAGAAGAGAAGCAGCTCATAGCAGGCAGAAGGTAGAAAAGCAACCAATGCACAGAGTAAGTCTTTTTCTGTCCCTTATATTGTATTTTGGCTACCAGGATTAGGACAGTGCCAAGTCAACCAGTGAACTGCTTTAATAATTACTCACCCTTTATCCTAGCACCCTTAATCCTAGCATTATATATGAATCAGTCATGCACTGTAGATTCAGCTACCTCTGAAAAAGCCCTACATATAACTGCATAATGCTTTGGGAGGACATCTAAACATAAGCTGTAACAATGGCCATGGATATGGAAGACTAATTGCATTTCTGCTTAATGGAAAGAAAAAGTTTCATTTTGTTCATATTTAAGAATATAAAATGGTTAGTATTTGAAGGCAATGAAAACTAATCAGATGCCTCTGAGCATTTTATTTTCCTCCAAAGAATTGAATGTTTTGATTTTTAAAAATTAGAGAGATACATCTTCCTGCTTATTTAATGTTCATTAGAGAATCTTTTTTATTTTTTAAAATTTTATTTAAAGAAAGACTAAACAAAACAGAAAATAGGTAGAAATAATACATATGTTCAGAGGAAAAAATAAACAGTAACAAATCACTAGTTGATGTTTACATATTGTTGTTTTACAAATAGTTGTTCAAGATACAAAAATGGAACATGTAAAGTGGGAATTCAAACAGCAAGACCGCAAACAGTTCTATTCAATTGTCGAAAAAAAATTAGTAGCATGATTGTCAATCCTATACACTTAAACATACATGCAGTTATCCATATCTTCATTTATGTTTAGATTAAACAAACTAAAGCAGGTTAACATCATTCTGAACAAAGAATAATAGTATTGCTGGATTTCACATCATGACACTCCATGATCAGCACTGGGTACTGTAGTGTCTTTATTTTTTTAAATTTAATTTAAAGAAAGACTAAACAAAAACAGAAAATGGGTAGAAATAATACATAATTTCAAAGAAAAATAAAGAGTAAGAAATCACTAGTTGATGATTACAAATTGTCTTCTTACAAATAGTTATTCAGGATACTAAAGTGGAGCACATAAAGTTGGGATTCAAACAGACTGAAACCAGTTCTGTTCAACTATCCAACAAAATCTTAGAAATATAGTTATCAATCCTATACACTTAAACATACATGCAACTGCATGTATCCATCTCTTAATTATGTTGTGATTGAATAAAACCAAGTAGGCTAATACCACTCTGAACAAAGAATAATACTATTGCTGGGTTTCACATTATGACACTCCAGGATCAGCCCTGGGTATTTTAGTGTCTCATTTTCTTCAAAGTATCTGTTCATTTCATCGTGTGTATAAGATCAGTTCTCATAAACTGTTTATAGATTCTACACATGCATGAGTATTAATAGGTATTTCTATCCTTTTATATTAGAGGGAGAAGCAAGACAAAGCAAAACATATCCTATAAACGCATGAAATGAAAAAAACATATAAGACCATTGTACAAAGAGTTCTACCATGGTTCTTGTGTTGTCTCTTGTTATTTCCAATAGAATTGGCTATATCATCAGACATAGTATAATTGAATATATCAGTACATAACAGTATTAATAAAAACACAACTTTGTATATAGTATAGAACTTCAAGAACCAGCAGTTATTAAACCAGAATGTGTATCATAGAGTCTTGTCATCTTCAGTGTAGTTGCCTATACTCTCAGACTTGGTACTATCAATCATATCAGTTTTGAGTAAAATCTTCTCTGCCTCATTTCTGTTATGCTCCTTTTTTTGCAGTTGTCGGCTTATCTCCTTCATTCTGTTTTGTGCTCCATTCATTGAGGCCTCTCTGGCACTGTTCCTGGAATCCTAGTACTTTTCTCTCTGTCTAGAATGCCATGGAGTATTCTCTGTAGAGTTGGATTGGTGGTTGCAAATTTCCCAAGCTCCTCTTTGTCTTGGAAGTATCTTGTTTCTCCATTAATTTCTAGAGACAGTTTAGCAGGCTATATCAATGTGGGATGGAGGTTATTTTCTTTCAGGGCTTGGAATATTTCACTCCAGGCTCTTCTTGACTTGATGGTTTGTGTCGAGAAGTCTGCCATTATTCTGATGGGCCTTCCTCTGTAGGTTATCTGATTCCTGTCTCTAACAGCTTTTAATATTCTGTTCTTATATTGAGTTTCTGGGATCTTGATTATTATATGCCTGGTTGTTGCTCTGTTTTGGTTGTAGGTGGCTGGAGTTCTGTATGCCTCATATATCAGAATATCATTTCCTTTTCCTATGTTTGGGAAGTTTTCCTTAATTATTTCTGTGAATAACTTTTGTAGTTCCTTTGTTAGTACCCCTGCTTATTCATTCACATTCTTTGTTCTCAAGTTATAGATTCTCTTGTCATCTGCTAGCCTTTGTATTGTTACTGCTTGTTTCCTTGTTATTTTTAAAAAGTTTTCCCTTTTGTACTCCCACATTGCAAAACTTTCCTCCAGTTTGCATAATATTTCTTTAGTTTCTTTCAAGCTGATTTGCCATCTTTTCATAGAGTTTTTAATTTCCTGGTAATCTCTTTGAATCAGTTTCATGTATTCTATATTTTTTGTATTCTTCATCAAATTGTTCTCTCCTTTGTTCTCTCTTCTTCCATCTGTGTCTGCTTACGGGATGCTTAGTATCTCTTTTTATTAATCTTCTTATATCTTGCTTTACTTGGCTAAATATTTCACTTTTGAACTCATATATGAGGTCCTGAATATATCTCTTTATGTCCACTAGCACCGTGTCTCAGGCGTACTTGCTGTTCTCATTCTCCTTTGTATTTACCTGTCCTGGGTCAATGTTCTCAGGGTTGGAGTCTGGGGACTTTTTGTTGTTGCTTTCTCTTCCCATCTTTTTTGCTTCTTCCAGGAGGTCCCAGTTTCTTTCTTTGTTAGTTACAATTCTTCTGAAGCACACTGGCTAGATGACCCTTCCCACTCATTAGAGAATCTTAAACTAGGAGTAGCATTAGAGATCATAGATCTGTCCACCCCTTGCATTTCACAGTGTGATAACAGACCCTAGAAAATTGAATCACCTGTCAAAGGGCACTGCTTAACTAGTTAGTTATAGTTTGGTGCAGAAAGACAAGCCAGCAGGTACACCCTAGTGCTGATCACAGAGTAGGAGCTCAACAATTTTTTTGTATCAGTGAATGAGATAAAGAGAGACCTTAGATTACTTAGAAGGATTATCACAGGGACTTCCTGTGAGAGAGCAACTCACATGAATGGAAAGGCAGAGCATTGCTCCTGAAAATGGGAAAAAGATTGAACAGCCTCTGTGGATTTTTAACCTGCATATTATTGCTACTTTAAATGATCTTTCTCCTGAACTCTCTTTTTTAATAGAAATTTTTGGAGAACCCGGAATTGTATGTGCCTCCCTTAGCACCTCACCCACTACCATCTGCTGACATGATCCCCAAAAAGCTAACACTGTCAGAACTGAAGAGTCGATTTCCAAAGTGTGCTGAGCTCCAGGGCTACTGCCCAGTGACCTATGAAGAGGGAGCACACAGGCAAGTCCTTGTCCTTGGGGAAGTGCAGAAATGATGCCCTTCTCAGAACAAGTGGTTCATGTAACAATCTTAACATTTGTATCAGATAAATGGAGACAGAAAATGTGGTGTTTATACATAGTACCTTAAAGAAAGATAAGTTATTTGTAGGAAAATAGATGCTCCTAGAGACCATAAAGTTAGGAGAAATAAATCAAACATGCAAGCTTAACTATCACACAGTTTCTTTTTATATGAGAAATGTGAAGTATAAATAAAGAGCAAAATATAAGATGTCCTAACAGGAAGAAGGGGGAATAAATCTTTCTCAAAGGGAAAGGTGATCAAGAGATATGAGGGTCAAGAAGAGAAGGACAGAGGGTTAAAAAGAATTAAGATTTGTTATGTACTTGTACAGACTCCACACAAAGAATGTAAACAATATGTGTTGCAAAACCACACCAAAAAAAAAAAATCAAGAATGGATGTATGTTGGAGGGAGAAAAGAAAGGGATGAAAAGGAAGGATTAAGATGTATTACTTGTGTATACAAATTCTGCATAAGAAAAGTAAACATTAGGTATTGCATACATGTACAATTTAAAAAGTTCACTTTTTAAACTGAGGAAATGTTCTGTTTCTTAATCAGCATAGGTTAAAAAAGAAAACCATTTTTGACATTTTATTTACACAGAACTGTATATTAATGACATCATAGGCTATTGTTTTTATCTTTCAGATATGAAGCTCTAGTACCTGGTAACAGTAACTTTGCTGTTGAGTATCGTGATCATCTATATATTTGTGAGAATAAAGAAAAACTCCAGAAATTTTTGAGGTGAGACTATTCATTACATCACAAATACTTAGTAGACAGGCCTTTCCTGTCCCCAAACCTGTGGCTCCAGGGTAAAATAGACTTTAAATGCCTGATAACAAGTGGGCACAGTGGGATATCCTGTAATCCTATCACTGATGCAGGAAGATCACTGCTGGTTTGGGGCCTCGATAGGAAACAAAATGTGATGGGACTCTAAGAGTGGTAAAGTTAAATGGACTTCTGGTGAAATGTCTGAATAAGAATGGAGAGTGGGCTGATCAGTGGTGGCAAACATATGACTCATGTGCTACAGTGGGCTGTTTGTTATCATTGAAAATGTTAAAGTCACCATCATTGAACTAGATGAAAGAAGGACTGATTCTAAGGGAAAGAAGGACTGATTCTAAGCAGAGGGGCCTCCAACCTACTTAGTTTTGGGGGTCCTAGAACTGGGAAACTTCAACATGGTTGAGGAAAGAGAGAAAGGTGACCTGGAGGTGGTGAACAGGGCCGAAGTGGAAGAGCAAATAAAACTACCATCAAGAGTCCAACTTAACTCTGAGAGCAGTGCTGAAACACTGCCTGGCTTGAAGCTTTGGGCAAGTGTTAGAATCAGTTTTGCTTTGGAGTGAGATGATCGTGGGTTGGGGCAGGAATGTAGTTTCAGTATGATAGATGGTGGTCAAAATACTGGGGTGTGTTCAAGCTTCATTAACACAGTGGATTTAGGGCCATGCCTTTAGAAGTGCTACGCACCAAGGTCAGAAGTTTCCAATGGAGGCTGAGAAACAAGAACCCAGAGAAGAAGAAGGGGAGCTTGACAGTAAGTGGAAAGCCTGTGGGAGGAGTGCCTGTGGGAGGAGCACCTGTGGGAGTCTGTAGTCAACAGGGCTGAATGCTGCTTCAGGCCAAGCCACTCCAGGGCCAAAATGTGTGTGACATTGACACTGTGCAGGATACTGGTGACTTTGGGCAGCATGTTTAGGAGACTAAGGTGAGCTAGGAGGGATGCATGAGAGATGATGAGATGAAGACTTGGTCTGTAGCCCAGAAATTGAATGCAGCAGCCAGAAGGATGAATAGCTGAGGGAGGCAAGTTGGGTGTGAACCTGAGACCTGGGGACCCCACAACTGGATCCCATACACCTAGATGAAGAAGACAGCAGGTCCTCACCCACTGCAGACATTTCTGATTTCAAAAAAAGTTGAAAACAAAATTTCTTTGTAACTTTTATGATATTTAGCCACTTAGCAATTTACTCTGATCATCACTTGGGTAGTGCATTTGCTTATATGGTGACTGTCTGAAGTGTAGTTTGGACAGGTGTCCATTGTTTCTTGTTTGCACAAGATACACTCATATGTCTGTTTATTTGATGTACATTGACTGTTTTTACATACTTTTTCATTTAGAATATTGTATTTTCCTTTAATGTTTATTTCTGATGAAATCTAATAAATTGTAGTTATTTTCTTTTACTGATTCATTTACTGATTTATTTGTGCAAAATAATATAATCTTGTGCTATAATCTATAAAAACTCTTACCATAAGGACATGGTTTTTATACTTCTCCAAAATTCAGTGATATTCTTTTACAGTACAAAACAGACACTGAGACTGAATAGGAAGGATCAAAAGATCTGCAAAAAAAAACACTGAAAAAAGAAATGTTAGCAGATCAGAGAAAAAGTCTGTGTTATGAAATGGAAATATAAAAAAGACATCTTCTGGTTAACTGTCTATAATACAGAAGTGATAAAGCTTAAAAGAAGAAATGTAAGCTGGGAATATAGCTTTGCAGCATAGTGCCTGCCTGTAAAGCTTGAAGTCATGAGTTCAATTACAGTACAAAAGGGAGAGAGAGAGAGAGAGAGAGAGAGAGAGAGAGAGAGAGAGAGAGAGAGAGAGATTAAAAAATGGAAGAAATGCAACTTAAAAATTTCAATAGTGATCAATGATTATATTTCTATGTGTAGTGTTGACAGAGTTAACCAACATCTAACAAGCTATCTTATAATAAAAAAGCAAGAAAAAATGTTTTATCAGGTATTCATGCACCTTCTGGACCAAGCATTATGGGACTTGTCTGTTATTTATTCAAAACAAGGGAATTCAAAAGGTCATTTATAATTTAGATTAAGTCTAAAAGACCAAATAATTTAAAAATACAGGATAGTGAGACATCAACAAGGACTTCCATCAACAGTATCTTCACTATCATGTTTAGTGGGTTAAACACTTTATCAGAGAGATATCACTCACAGAAAGACCAACTTGAGATGTAAAGTGTGTTATTCAAAGAAAGACAGTAACACAGAAAAAAATTCAGAAAGAGACCAAATAATACTGTCCACATTCTAAGTCTGAATTGTGTATTGGATCTTTTAGGATATACCCTACACAGAAAGATTATTAAATAATTTTATAAAATAACAATTGATAAAATTGTTATTTGTATCTTTCTTGTTATATTAAAAATCAGTGAAAATACTAATTTATGTCATCTTGTATTTAAATAATTGACTAGTAAGTGGTTAAACACTTAAGACTGCTTCAGAATTTCCTATAAGATGCCATGTAGACTGAATCACACTTGCAGAGCAGGTATCTGGGCACTATGACATCTGTAATAAGGCTTGCTGGTTCTAAATGTTTGAGCATAGAGAGAGGAAGATATATGAGTGAAGGAGAAAGAGTAAGTTTTATTTTATTTTTTTCTCCATTTGGACTTTCTTCTTGTTGTGGGGGAAGGTGGTTTCAACATGTTTAAATGCAGATGCATAGGAAGGATCCCAAAAGGAAAGAAAGAACACAGATCCGAGGAGAGAGAGATAGAATGCGGCAGTGACCTACATTATGGTGGGGAGAGAGAGGTAGCTCTGTGGGGAAGGAACACCATGTATATGGTTCTGTGGATAGTGAGCCATTGAGGAAAGAAACTCCAGCCTAACTCTTCCATTCTGGACCTAGTGTGGCATCTGCCTCAGGGATGAAGAGGTACTTGGATAATAGTATTTTGAGGAAAATAAAATTTTATCTGTTGTTTTGAAAAATAAAGAACTATCATAGTAGGTAAGTAGATCTGGGAACTCAAGTAAAGGGATGACAGTAAACTTCCAGGAGCCCCAGACTTCCCATTTCTGTGATTTTATCCTGTGGAAAAAAACAAGCACCAAACTCTACATTTCAAATGCCTCATATAATTTATGTTCCTACATGTGGAGAAAGAGTCTGTTCATTATCATCTGTCTAATGAACTTTGTGTCCCTAGGTCGCCACTGAAGTACTGGGATCAGAGGCTTCCACACAAACTTCCCCCATTAAAGGAACCAATGATACTTACTAGTCTTCCTTTACCTGGATATCTTGAACAGGTTAGTGGAATAAAGAGTATGTTCTTTTTAACAGTTATTTTCATTTTTGTAGCAATAAATTTCAAGAAAGAGTTTTCTAATTTTTTTTGCCTGCTTTTGTTGCTGTTGTTGTTAGTTTGTTGTCTTTGTTTTTGAAACAGAATCTTGATATATAGTTTAGGCTGGCCTTGAACTCACAGTGAAACTCCTGCCTCCGGCTTCCAAATGCTGAGATTATAGGCATGTGCCACCACCACATGCAGCCAAAGTTTTCTGATTTTAAATTGAAAATCTCTTAACCTACTTGTTCATAGGTGGATGTTGAAATGTGTGAACGGTACCCTACTTTCATAGATAATTATTAAGTATCTACACCCAATGGAAGAGAGCAGATGATTTTAAAATTATTTATATTTGACTCAGATGTGTAGCTTGGATCCTATTTTTCTTTTCTTTTCTTTTTTTTTTTTTTTTTGTCTTTTTCCTTTTTACCGGTACCGGGGATTGAACTCACGACTGCCTGCTTGCAAGGCAGGTGCTTATGCCGCTGAGCTAAATCTCCAGCCCCTGGATCCTATTTTTGATTTTGAATGATTGTAACATTTTTTTCATAACTTAAAATGTGCAGATTCAGTATCTAACAGTTTGAAACACTGCCCAAAAAGAGTTGAGTTGCAGGACTAGGACAAGTTCACCTTAAATCTCACATTTTGCCCAAATTCAGCTGAAGCTGTCTATTAAAGTCACATTTTGTTCAAATATGACTATATTAAAATAACAGATCCAAGAGTGCTGGCATATACCTGTAATTCCAGCACTTGGGAGGCTAAGGCAGGAGCCTCACTGAAAGTTCAAGATTAGCTTGGGCTACAAAGTGAGTTCAAGGCCAGTCTGAACTGCACAATAAACTGTCTCAAAAAGAAAAAAAAACAGAACTTATCAATTACTAAATGCTATTTTAAAAGCTGTTCTTAAAATTTGTACAGCACAAATATCTAGGGTACAATGTCATGCTTTTGTTGCAAATTCTTAACCACATTGTGTTTTCAACTTGCCAGAAAGTTAGACTTCAGTCTAGTTCAATATCAGAATGCCAGGTGACATTCACTCAGACAGGAACATTTTTATGAAGGCCAAATTTTATCAGAAGGAATTGTTATTTTCTTCAGAGCTCCAGGAATGGTACTGCAGTGATATTGTGGTCTCTGGATTTCTGTGTCCAGTGGCCAAGGATTTTCATAGTGGAAAGCTCACTGGTCCTTTCTGAGGATGAAAGCAGAGATGAGCCAAGAAAACTCAAAGTCTCTTTTTTTTGTTTTAATTTTTTGTTATATAAAATGTAAAATGTCACACATATGCAAATAGAACTGCATAATGAAGCTGAAGAGAGGGTCCATCACTCAGCTTTCACTAAGCCAATTTGCACTTCATTTTTCCTGATCAAATGTGTATTGTGTTTTTTTCTTGTCTAAATTAGTCATGTAATCATTTTATAAACCATATCACCAACCTCAGGGAGGCTATTTGAGGCAAGGAATGCACCTGTTTATCTAGCCACACTAAGAAACTGACTCCAGTATTCACATGGTTTTAATTTGTTCACTGCATGCAGGGTATTGCAACTTCTCTAATTAAAGCAATGAATGCAGCAGGGTGCATGAAGCCCAAATTTCCCTTCTTAAGTATACGGAGATCTGCACTGCTCTACATAGCATTTCACCTAAAAGGTATGCATGTATTAATGACATACTGCTTAGAATTAATTTACCTAAAATGTAGTATATGTGTTAAAAGTAGGATTGTTACTCTGAGTTGGTTGCTTAGTGTGTGTGTGTGTGTGTGTGTGTGTGTGTGTGTGTGTGTGTTTTCCTGTAAAATGCAATGCAGGCAAATCTTTAAAAATACCAACACTGAAATGCTACTTTTAAGAGTAGAGACTGTAATTAATATTATTCAGCATTCCATAATCCCTGTCATACAGAAGGTGAATATAGGCAATTACGATCTAAATAGAATAACACTCCAAAAAGGAAAAAAGAGAAAAGAAAGATAAAATGGAAACAAAGCTTTGTGAATCAGCAGGGAAAAGGAGGCTGAAGGGGGAGGAGGGGAATGAGAAAAAAGAGATATCAAGATATATCATATACAGTACAAATTCCCTATGGTGAATGTGATCAATATGTGTATCTAAATGGTACCAATAAATTTAATTTAAAAATAGAATAGGGGCTGGAGGTTTAGCTCAGCAGCACAAGCACCTGCCTGGCAAGTTTCAGGTCAAGAATTCAATCCTTGGTGCAAAAAATACATATAACCCTCCACTCTTATCTGGGATTAGCTATCTGCAACTCAGCCACATATTCTAATTCTTCTTCTCTGTTTAATTTAATGATTTACTAACCTTTAAGAAAATATTCAAATTTTATTAAATTTTTGACAGCATTTAATCCCAGAAGTTCTGAATATACAAGAAAGAAGTATAAGAAGAAGATGGAACAGTTTATGGAGAGATGTGAACTCATAACATACCTCAGTGCCAATATGACCAGAAAATACAAGGAACCTCAGTTTAGAGCCATTGACTTTGATCACAAACTATGGACTTTTCTTTCTCTAAGGAATTTAGACCCAATTAGTATATAGTCTGTTTACTACAAACTGAATCTCGTGTTACCTCCAAGTGATAGAGGGAAACTTAAACAATCAGATTGAAGACTGACCTTCTCTGCAACACAGCTCCCCGATAAGTGATGTTCTAGGGTTGTCTGCTTCAGACAGACTTAGCCTGGCCAACCAAGGCAAGGTTCTCTTTTATAAGCATAAATTTTAATGTAGTTTTAAAGTTTATTGCTCTTTGCTTGAATTTTGTTGCTTAAAAATAGACATTCAGAATTCCATTAAGGATATTTAAATAATATCTAATAAATTTATTATTTATTTTCTGTTTTAACACTTTAGTAGAATAATCAACTCTGGTAAGGAAAACTTTTATTCCTTAAATTTCATAGTTTCAAGAAACAAAATTAACATTGATATAAATAAAACAGAAATATTCTTTATACTTTTTACCTAAGAAATTATAAACTTTTTAAACATAAGGCACTATCATTTTCCCAACATAATAAATAGATTTTCTAATACCTATTTTTATTTAAAAATTCACCAAAGCATGTTTTGTACTTTATTTTATGTCTAGAAATTACCTGATGTTTAAAAGTTAAAATTGGAGGAACATTATTGTATGGCATCTATAAAATCTATAAGCTAATGATCAGGTATGGTGGCACACACTTGTAATCCCAGATACTTGGGAGGCTTAGGATCACATGTATGAGATCAGCATGGGTAACTTAGACCTTATCTCAAAATATAATAGAAATGGGTAGGAATGTAACCCAGTGGTAGAGTGTTTGCCTAGGTTTTCTTGGTACTTCAAGAAAAAATGTAAAAATGAAGTTTGCTCTAGAGAAAAACAATTGAATTTGAGATTTTACAAGTAAGATTAAATTTTGCAGCAGCAATGTAAAAAATCCAGACAGCTAAAATATGAAATTGACTCTAAAAAATTAAAATGACCATGAATTGTATAACCTTCTTTGAACCTGTTTTCTTTTTTATTTTAAAGAGGATAAAATGTAATAAAACCAATCAAAACAAACCAATGTAAGGGATACAGGACTTCAAAACATTACAAAATCAATGACAGTTACCATAATGCCTCTTGATGTCTTCAAAACAGCTGCAGATAACTTCAGATATAGTAAAAATCAAACAGAAGAGAACAGAATAGAAACAATAAAAGCAAAACAATGAATGCAATAAAGGATTTCAAAATAAGCCAATAATCTAAAATTTCTACCATAATATATCTTTCTATCTTTGAAATAGCTGCTCCGACCATCAGATTAACATAATCAATCAAAAAAGGATGAAACCCAACCCAACAAAACAATGGAAATGATATAGGACCTCAAAATAAGACCATAATTAATTCACACTGGCCAAAACTCTCAGGAGATCTCCCGGAAGCCATATTGCTTACCACTATCATCTGAACCTAGAGTTAGGGTTAGGGTTAGGGTTTTAAGGTTCAGGGTTGCATTTCAGGACTCCAAGTGAAGGTCAGGCAGGCTGAGACGATGGATGGGCCATGGGCCATCCTTCAAATGTGGGCTGATCTGCCCAGAAATGCCCTGGGAAGGAGGGAGCCAGGCTTTGGGCCTTCTTTGGCTGGGCTCCCTCATTTCATCTCACCTCTCCTCACCTCAAGGCCTCAGGTGAGTGGGAGTGTCCTTCCTTCCATATCTATTCTCTTTCACCAGGCACTTTGCCATTTTCCCTTTTGTTCTCTGCTCTGGTCCTCACCACTGTGACTTGGCCTCACCAATGCCATCTCTCTTGAGCCCCACACTGAACCAACCCCTGTGCCTTATCTGGACCCCACCACGGAGGAGGGAGGGAATAATGGAAAATCACTCTGGATCTGTGTAAGTCCTGTGAGTAAAGCAGCATGAGTTTGATGACCCGCCATACCCCCCAGGAGAGAGAAAAATCAACGCTCACTCGACCAAAGGATCAGAGGGAGAGGGCTGTGGTGTCTGTGTCTCTGTTGACCCAAAGTCAATGTCAGATCCTAACTAAAATCTCATTTCCTATGGGATGTCTTTCTTTTTTGGGTTAGGGTTAGGGTTAGAGGGTTAGGGAGATACACACAGAGAGATGAATAGAGGCAAAGAGACAGAGACAGAATGAGAAACAAAAGCAAAAACAAGCAAACAAGCAGGTCTTACAACCTACTTCAGCAGTACTGCCTTGAAGTAGAACTCTCCATAGATTGCTTCTTAACAATGCCAACCTTTATAGAGCACCACAATCTGAGGCCAAGTCTGTATCACAAGACCCATGACATTCTAGAACCAAGCAATGGTAGGAAGACAAGAATAAAAATATGGCCTTATTCTGAACAGCCCAGGATCAGATGGGCTTAAAGGAATCAAGTCTTTAGTCAGATAAAAGTCGAAGAACAAATTAACATATTTTAAAAAACTTTTTCATAAACAAAAGGCAATAAACTTTCCAATGTATTTTCATTTTCTTTTTTATTGATGAATACAGTGCATATACTCAAAAAATAAAGGATATAAAATCCATTTTAAATCAACTGCTCTGATATCAAAACAACAAATATATTTCAAAAGAAGTTAAAATTATTATCATTTATAAATATAGTAAAATATCCTAAATAACTTAAAATTTACCATGAACAGTGATAGAACTGTGCGTGCAGCGGCTGGAAAGATAAGAAGTATGAAATATAAATGACCTTTAAGAATGCGGGGAGAGACCCCCGATCCCCTTGGGTGCGGCATCTCCCCCCAGGGTCAGCAATCTCTCTGTGGGACATGTGGAGTGAAGACATACATGTAGCTTAGGTTTGGGGTGGAGCCTGAGGGGGCATTAGGGATGCATAGGTAGTCCATTGGCACTTGTTTGGCTCCAGGGGCAAATTCCTAGGGGTGGGGAAGATAGGGCCACAGGTAAATTCCTAGGGGTGGGGGAAATGGAGCCCCTTGGTTTCCCCTGAGGTTTTACCAGCTACAGAGTCTTGTCTGGGCCAAAACTCTTTCAAACAGTATATTAAAAGATTATATTAGGTTAAAATGTATTAAAATAGTGTATAAATGTATACTCATATTAATATAGTGATACACTCAGTGACATTTCTGTCAATGACAGACCATGTACATAGCGGTGGTTATTCCAGATGATCATATTATCTAATTGAGTCATAGTCATCCTATTCTGTGCAAGTGCACTCTATGATATTTGCAAAATGACAGCAGTGCTTAGTGATGGATTTCTAAGAACATACACCACTGTTAAAAGGTACATGACTTTAGTTGGAAAAAGTACAAATCAGCTGAGTGTGGTAGAAGACATTTGTAATCCCAGTGTCTCAAGAGACTGACACAGAAGGATTGCAAGTTTGGAGTAAATGATTTCTCTTGTGTAGTTACAATAAAAAAAAATCTGACAACCATCTACAAATAACACTGATAGTGTTAAGATAATTCTAACTGTATGTATTGCTATTTAAGTAGTATGAGGTTTTGGGAAAAATCACTCATTAATCTAGTGTATTCATTTTACAAGTATACTTTGAATTCCTTATGCCTCTTGTTCAGAGAGTAGTAATATTAATGCATGAGTATAGAATCATTTTGAAGTAAATTAGATGATAATTATGTGACTACAAATAATTGGCTTGTATAAATTCTTTGGACACAAACTATTTCATAAATACTGGCAACTAATGAATGAAAGGATATCCCAGGAAACAAATTAAATACTTGTACATAGTCTCACTAATGAAAATGAATCAAAGGTTTCATTTTCAGTTTTCAGTTGAATTATTCTGAGGGTTTCTGATAAAAGCTGCACTTGATTAGCATAATGACAAAGTATTTCAAAACCAAAAAAGACAATTTCCTTCACATTATCAAAAAAAATATGTCTGAATAATCTAGGAAACATTTCATCAACAGATGAAATTAAACTTCTACCAACAGTTGTTTCTTCCAAAAAAAGCAGTAAACAGTAACAATACAAAGCCTTTATCAGTACATTAAACAGGAGACTGTAGAAACTGTACTGAGCTATTTCTTGGAAACTGGAAAAAGTCTCAGCTAAACTTTGACTTGGTCAGAGTTCCAAGAATGCTGTAGACTAAATTAGCTCTATAAACTTTGATGTTCAATTCATCATTCACACAAAATTGCAAGACTATGTCAAGTTCTTTTAACTGTTACCTGGTACAATTTTCTTCTCTTTTCTTTAACCCATCCATGCAAAATTGCCCTTCCCTCAGAGTGAATCAAAATTAAGCACACACAGATGTGCCACTCAGTACTTTCTACTTGACAATATTTAGAGGAAGGAGAATTTACACCTTTGTTGAATCAGAAAAGAGAAGAATCATCTGGCACTAACTGAAACAAAGTCCACACTACAGAGAAAATAAAGATGAACTTGTCTTTCCTATGCAAGTTCAGTGTTTGCACTTTCATTAGCTAAGACAAACAACTCCTACCTGTGGTGTTTTCTTATTCTATTGAACCCCTTTCTAATTAACAACCATTAAGATTCACCCCTGTGGTGGCTTTAGCCTTTGCCTACTTAAAAGTAGTTGAAATGTTCCCTTTCATTAGAAGCAGCATAGAAAGAGAAAAAGGGCCATGGCCTTTTGGTTACTAATGGCCTTATTACAGACATTCCTTACTTCATAATTGCTGGCACATCAAAATAAATGGGTATACGGCTTTCTAGACTGGGTGGGGAAGAAATAAAGCAAACAAATTGCAACAGCCTGTCTACTTTCTTTGCACATTAAAGAAGATTTAGCCAATCAAACTGAGTGACTTATTTTCCTCTTAGAAAAGTTTGGAAAGTTCTTTGAAGGCATCTAGTGAAAACATTTCAGGGAAGACAAGTTTTTGCTGTGATTAGTTTTCACTGTTATTCCTTTTACCGAAGAAAACAGTTAGCCACAATCTAATTTGGTTAGTATTTGTTCTGTACTCTTGGTTTACTTATGGTTTTGTTATTCCTTGTCTAGAAGAGTAGTGAAAATTATTTCCAAATGCTAGTGTCATTTTAGTTGGAAGCTTTTCTTCATAATCTTTTTTACTAATTTTTAATTTTTATTAGATATGCTTGCAGTAATAGTGATTATCTTCAGTTTGGTGAACGAGTACCTGTATATCATACATCTTAATTATTTTTCTCCCTTTCCATGTGCTTTTATTTTATCAACATTAGGTTTATTTACTTGTTTAAGAAATTATAAAATTAATTATCATATGTTACAGAATAAAACCAAAATAATAAGCCAAAATATGTAAAACATGTCAGACAGTTATACTTAATGAAGGTACAATTTGTCTGGGCTGAAATATTTTTTCCTATTGTATGTCTTTTATTTTGTACTGTATTTTTCTATTGGTATTTTTCACATGGGAGAAATTTTGTGATATTTAAGGTTGTGTCTGATTTCATTTGCTTACCATAATTGGTTCAAGCTACATTCCTTTCCTACGAATGATTCAAATTTGTGTATCTTTATATTGGAGAAGTATGTGATTGTGAAGTATGTGAAGTTTCTGAAAAACATCGCGGGGTGGTGCGCATTGTAAGGGTTTCTAACAGGCCATTCACTAGTAGGAGTGAGAAAAATATCACGTGGTATTGTGAATCGGAGGGTCTGAATTAGGACAGGCACTGAGTGGCAATGTAGGGTGGAGAAAACCACCACGGGGTGGTCGGCATGGCGAGGTCAGGAAACATGCAGTGGCAATGTAGGATTGCTTTCTGAAAAAAAAAACGGGGTGGTGGGCTTTGCGAGGGTCTCTAACAGGCCATTCACATGTAGCAGTGAGAGAAACATCACGGGGTTGTGTGAGCCAGGAGGGTCTGAATTAGGATAGGCAGTGAGTGGCAATGTAGGATGGAGAAAAGCACTACGGGGTGGTGAGCATGGGGAGGTCCGGAAACATGCAGTGGCAATGGAGGATAGGCTTCTGAAAAACATCGCGGGGTGGTGTGCATTTCTAACAGGCCATTCACTAGTAGGAGTGAGAAAAACATCACAGGGGGGTGTGATTCGGAGGGTCTGAAGTAGGATAGGCAATGAGTGGCAATGTAGGATGGAGAAAAGCACCACGGGGTGGTCAGCATGGGGAGGTCAGGAAACATGCAGTGGCAATGTAGGATAGGCTTCTGAAAAACATCGCGGGGTAGTGCGCATTGTAAGGGATTCTAACAGGCCATTCACTAGTAGGAGTGAGAAAAAAATCACGGGGTGGTGTGATTCGGAGAGTCTGAAATAGGATAGGCAGTGAGTGGCAATGTAGGATGGAGAAAAGCCCCACGGGGTGGTCAGCATGGGGAGGTCAGGAAACATGCAGTGGCAATGCAGAACACCTTTCTGAAAAACATCACGTGGTGGTGTGCATTTCTAACAGGCCACTCACTAGAATGAGTGAGAAAAACATCACGGCGTGGTGTGCTTCTGAGGGTCTCAATTAAGAGAGGCAGTGAGTGGCAATGTACCATGGAGAAAAGAAACACTGTTTGATCACCATGGGGAGATCAGGAAACATGCAGTGGCAATGTAGGATCCTTTTCTGAAAAACAAGGCGGGGTGTTGCGCATTGTAAGGGTTTCTTACAGGACATTCACTAGTAGGAGTGAGAGAAACATCACGGAGTGGTGTGAATCGGAGGGTCTAAATTAGGATAGGCAGTGAGTGGCAATGTAGGGTGGAGAAAAGCACCACGGGGTGGTCAGCATGGGCAGGTCAGGAAACATGCAGTGGCAATGTAGGATAGGTTTCTAAAAAACATCCCGGGGTGGTGCACATTGAGAGGGTTTCTAACAGGCCATTCACTACTAGGAGTGAGAAAAATGTCACGGGGTGGTGTGAATCGAAGAGTCTAAAATAGGATAGACAGTGAGTGGCAATGTAGGATGGAGAGAAGTCCCACGGGGTGGGAAGCTTGGGGAGGTCAGGAAACATGCAGTAGCAATGCAGGATACATTTGTGAAAAACATCGTGGTGTGGTGCACATTTCTAACATGCCATTCACTAGTAGGAGTGAGAAAAACATCATGGGGTGGTGTGATTTGGAGGGTCTGAATTAGGATAGGCAGTGAGTGGCAATGTGAGATGGAGAAAAGCCCCACGGGGTGGTCAGCATGGGGAGGTCAGGAAACATGCAGTGGCAATGTAGGATAGGTTTCTGAAAAGCATGGCGGGGTGGTGCGCATCGTAAGGGTTTCTAACAGGCCATTCACTAGTAGCAGTGAGAAAAACATCACGGGGTGGTGTGATTCGGAGAGTCTGAAATAGGATAGGCAGTGAGTGGCAATGTAGGATGGAGACAGGCCCCACGGGGTGGTCAACATGGGGAGGTCAGGAATCATGCAGTGGCAGTGTAGGATAGGTTTCTGAAAATCATCGCGGGGTGGTACACATTGTAAGGGTTTCTAAGAGGCCATTCACTAGTAGGAGTGAGAAAAACATCACAGAGTGGTGATAATCGGAGAGTCTGAAATAGGATAGACAGTGAGTGGCAAGGTAGGATGGTGAGAAGCCCCACGGGGTGGGAAGCATGGGGCGGTGAGGAAACATGCAGTGGCAATGCAGGATAGGTTTCTGAAAAACATTGCGGGTTGGTGTGCATTTCTAACAGGCCATTCACTAGTAGGAGTGAGAAAACATCATGGAGTGGTGTGATTCAGAGGGTCAGAATTAGCATAGGCAGTGAGTGGAAATGTAGGATGGAGAAAAGCACCACGGGGTGGTCAACATGGGGAGGTCAGGAAACATGCAGTGGCAATGTAGGATAGGCTTCTGAAAAACATCGCGCGGTGGTGCGCATTGTAAGGGTTTCTAACAGGCCATTCACTAATAGGAGTGAGAAAAACATCACGGGGTGGTGTGATTCAGAGGGTCTGAATTAGGATCGGCAGTGAGTGGCAGTGTTGGATGGAGAAAAGCCCCACGAGGTGGTCAACATGGGGAGGTCAGGAAACATGCAGTGGCAATGCAGGATAAGTTTCTGAAAAACATCGCAGGGTGGTGCGCATTTCTAACAGGCGATTCACTAGTAGCAGTGAGAAAAACATCACGGGGTGGTGTGATTCGGAGGGTCTGAATTAGGATACGCAGTGAGTGGCAATGTAGGATGGAGAAAAGCACCACGGGGTGGTCAGCATGTGCAGGTCGAGAAACATGCAGTGGCAATGTTGGATCGTTTTCTGAAAAACAAGGCGGGGTCTTGCGCATTGTAAAGGTTTCTTACAGGCCATACACTAGTAGGAGTGAAAGAAACTTCACGGGGTGGTGTGAAATGGAGGGACTGAATTAGGATAGGCAGTGAGTGGCAATGTAGGATGGAGAAAAGCCCCACGGGGTGGTCATCATGGGGAGGTCAGGAAACATGCAGTGGCAACGCAGGAGAGGTTTCTGAAAAGCATGGCGGGGTGGTGCGCATTGTAGTGTTTCTAAAAGGCCATTCACTAGTAGGAGTGAGAAAAACATCATGGGGTGGTGTGAATCGGAGGGCCTGAATTAGGATAGGCAGTGAGTGGCAATGTAGGATGGAGAGAAGCCCCACAGGGTGGTCAGCATGGGGAGGTCAGGAAACATGCAGTGGCAATGTAGGATAGGTTTCTGAAAAGTATCGTGGGGTGGTACACATTGTAATGGTTTCTAACAGTCCATTCACTAGTAGGAGTGAGAAAAACATCACGGAGTGGTGAGAATCGGAGAGTCTGAAATAGGATAGACAGTGAGTGGCAATGTAGGATGGAGAAAAGCCCCACGGGGTGGTCAGCATGGGGAGGTCAGGAAACATGCAGTGTCAATGCAGGATAGGTTTCTGAAAAACATCGCGGGGGGGGGGGGTGCGCATTTCTATCAGGCCATTCACTAGTAGGAGTGAGAAAAACATCACGGGGTGGTGTGATTCTGAGGGTCTGAATTAAGATAGGCAGTGAGTTGCAATGTAGGATGGAGAAAAGAACCACGGGGCGTTCAGCATGGGGAGTTCAGGGAACATGCAGTGGCAATGTAGGATAGGTTTCTGAAAAACATTGAGGGGTGGTGCGCATTTCTAACAGGCCATTCACTAGTAGGAGTGAGAGAAACATCAAGGGGGGGTGTGATTCGGAGGGTCTGAAATAGGATAGGCAGTGAGTGGCAATGTAGGATGGAAAAAGCACCACGTGGTGTTCAGCATGAGAGGTCAGGAAACATGCAGTGGCAATATAGGATACGTTTGAAAAGCATGGCGGGGTGGTGCGCATTGTAAGGGTTTTGAGCAGGCCATTTACGAGTAGGAGTGAGAAAAACATCACGAGGTGGTTTGAATCGGAGGTTCTAAATTAGGATAGGCAATGAGTGGCAATGTAGGATGGAGAAAAGCACCAAGGGCGGTCAGCATGGGGAGGTCAGGAAACATGCAGTGGCAATGTAGGATAGGTTTCTGAAAAGCATCGCGGGGTGGAGCGCATTGTAAGGGTTTCTAACAGGCCATTCACTACTAGGAGGGAGAAACTCATCACGGGGTGGTGTGATTCGGAGAGTCTGAAATAGTATAGGCAGTGAGTGGCAATGTAGGATAGAGAAAAGCCCCACAGGGTGGTCCCCAAGAGGAGGTCAGGAAACATGCAGTGGCAATGCAGGATAAGTTTCTGAAAAACATCGCGTGGTGGTGCGCATTTCTAACAGGCCATTCACTAGAATGAGTGAGAAAAACATCACGGGGTGGTGTGATTCTTAGGGTCTGCATTAGGAGAGGCAGTGAGTGGCAGGGTACGATGGAGAAAAGCACCACTGGGTGGTCACCATGGGGAGGTCAGGAAACATGCAGTGGCAATGTAGGATAGGTTTCTGAAAAGCATTGCGGGGTGGTGCGAATTGTAAGGGTTTCTAACAGGCCATTCACTAGTAGCAGTGAGAAAAACATCACGGGGTGGTGTGAATCAGAGGGTCTAAATTAGGATAGGCAGTGAGTGGCAATGTAGGATGGAGAAAAGCACCACGGGGCGGTCAGCATGGGGAGGTCAGGAAACACGCAGTGACAATGTAGGATTCTTGTCTGAAAAACAAGGTGTGTGGGGCGCATTGTAAGGGTTTCTTACAGGCCATTCACCAGTAGGAGTGAGAAAAAGATCACGGGGTGGTGTGATTCAGAGAGTCTGAAATAGGATAGGCA